CATAAGATATTTTTTAGTATATTTCCAATTGTAGGTCCAATTATATTATTCTGGCATAGTCTAGTTATCTTTATTACTACTATTTTACAGTAAGTTTTGAGCTAATGGTTAATATAGGTAGTCCTCAATTTACAACAGTTTATTTAGTGACTGTTCAAAGTTACAACGGCACTGAAAAAAGTGACGACAATTTTTGACAGTTATGACCTTTGAAGTATCCCCATGATGATGTGATCAAAATTCAGATGCTTGGCAACTGTTTCATACTTATGATGGTTGTTGTGTCCCAAGGTCACAAGATCCCCTTTTGCAAACTTCTGACAAGTGAAGTCAATGGGGAAGCCAGATTCACTTTAACAACCAGGTTCTAACTTATCAACTGCAATGGTTGACTTAACAACTATGAAAAGAAAGGTCATAAAATGAGGCAAGACTCGCTTGACAAATGCTTCACTTAACATCAAATTTTGGCCTCAGTTCTGCCCCTAGGTCAAAGACTACCTCTACTCTGGAAATTTGACAGGTTACGTTTCTGTTGGGAACACTGATATAAAAAAGCTTGTTCATAATGTGCATTAAACTAAATTGTCTTGCTTTAAAGAATTTGGGTGTTGTAATGTTCATGATGAGATCACATACATGGCCAGCAAGATATTGCAAATCACATGGGTGGAGAGGCCAGATACAAGTCTCCTGACTGCAGTGCACAGCAGTATTTTTATCTGTATCTTTGCCCCAGTTATTACAGTGAGAAATTGGATTGATTGCTCTTGGATATCTACTTATTTTAGGCATTGCTAAACTCCTACAGGGGCTTTAAGAAACATTAGAGTTTCAATTGTTTGATATTTGGAGAAGAAACAGTGATGGACATTTAGATCTGTTTTTGATCACCTTTGTTATATCTGGAAGGAGTTGCTTGGGGTTTCATAAGCTTCTGTAAAGTTTAGCCCAAATCCAGTTGTTCTGTATGTATGTTGAATTAGAGACTTATTTCAGTATTACTTCTACATGATTTTTTTTTTAGTAACCTTTTTACTAAGGTTATAACTTTTTTGCTGAATCATGATGTGGGAAGCTCAGGGCACATTGACACAACGTGTCAGGACGTTTTAGATAGCTTCAGCCCCCATCTTCATGAGGAACTATTTAATTAAATGAATTGACAATACCTGGACAATAGAGTAAGCTTTTACTTTGAATAATAGGGTAAACATTGTGCTTTTTAAAGTATTTGTGGTGCCCAGAATGGATTTGTGGTTAAAAAACAGATTGGAATGAGGCATCCATTGTTGTATTGTATTTCCAGCAAATACCACTCAGTTTTGAGGACGGTGCTTTTTCTTATATAAAGGGCTTGGGCTAGTTAGTTTTGATGGATCTCCAGTATAGAACAGCCATATAAGTTTGGAAGTTCAAGGGTAATGATAGCAGCTGTTCTAAATTAGCAGTGGTACTTCTGTGCTGGAAATGCTGCCAAAGGGGGCACATTTAATTCGTTATACAATTCCCAGAATGGTTATAAGGAATTATCATTAACTAGGTTAATACATCCCCTTAGGGGCCCACGATTGCTGTTGCAGTTGGTTTATGACCCATGGTGATGTGAAGATTGTTCTGCAAAGCCAGTTTTAAATTAAAACCTTGTACATATCAGAAAATAGATGCATCATACTGGTAACTCAGTGGTCAGGAATGATGTAATGTTGAGATCAGGAAAACATTGAGAAATATTTGTGCTAGATTTACACTGTGGCTTTCCTCCAGAATCTCAAAGTAGCTTACATGGGAACNTATGGGAGGCTGTTCCGTGTGGATGGCAGGTGCATGCGGGGCGCATGGGCATATTTCTTCCCCCCCCCCCAAGAAATGGAAGGGACTGGCTGCACATGCATTTAAATATTTTAGGGGAGGGTCTATTTTTTTGGGGGGGGCTTATTTTAGCACATGCGTTCAAAAGCCCAATTGGGCTTATTATCCAGGGAGGTCTTATTTTCAGGGAAACAGGGTATTATTACTTTCATTGCTGAAATAAGGTTTAAAAGGTTTGCAAAACAGGCTGGCACTTCAGTTCAACACTCAGATATTTCTTTAAAAAAAAAACAAGTTCTGTTTAAACCTGTCTATTTTTTTTTACGCACATGACTTAATTTTGGATTGTTATATATGTGGCTCTACTTTGAATTCCTGGCATCTGCCTCACGTACTAACAAATAATTTAGTGCTTAATTGCAGCTTCTCTCTTAATCTAAAATTGCACATGCTTAGTTGCAAGAAGTCATGTAATTGACAGCATCAGGTGAGACCTGTCAACACGTGATGGGCGCTCAATGCAGGCCTTTGAGGCCATCTCTGGAATGGAATATCTTTGAGGCTGACGATGAGAAAGGTATTTGGTTGCAGCTTCGGGGATAATGGCCATTCATTTGTTCAGATTGCTGGGCTATCCGGCTTTTCCAGTAACATCTTCCTGACAACACATCACTAGAAAGGACAGACGATGAATGCTGCTGTTTACAAAAACACAAATAAGGTTCTATATGCCTGTTTAAGCTGATTCGGAGAAAGGTGTTGATATACAACCAGCAACTCTGATGGGAAAACAGATATTCCAGTTATTGTTTTGGGCACCTGTGATCTTTGTTGAGGTTCAGATCTGTAAATGGTTACAGTAAAGTTCAGTTTTTAAAAGATTCGGTTAAAGCCAAATGTTCATTACAATTGTATTTACCTGATTGGTATAATTTGTATTGAGCTACATTATTTGCATTATTTTATGTTCTCTCCTCTGTTCGACATCATTTGCATGACATCAATTCCATGTGTTGTCTTGCTTTGGAAACGGCGGACTTTGTCTATTATTTGGGGGTGAAATCCAAAATTATGCTGCATCTGAAGGTAGCTAAATGCAAGTCCACCAACTTGCATTTTACTGTCATTTGGAAATCTTATCCTCCAAATATAAATAAAGCAATTGGTGCTCTAATCTAAGGTGCTTTATGCAAAAGGAACCAATGATGACTTCAGTCCCATGTAGGGAGCAAAATTTATCCTAACAATTATCATTATTAAGAAGAGACAGGAGTGTTGTTCGGTAACATGCCAGCACACCTTTTGTGTGGGTTTATATATTATGTCTTATCATGCCTGTGAAGTACTTTTAATAGTAGCTAGCTTATTACATCCTGTGAGATTTGTGGCTAAGGCTGAATATGTATTATTTTATAATGTCTATTGTGTAAGTTGCTGACCCAGCATATCTGGAGGGCACCATGTTGGAAGGTTGATTTAAGTAGAACTCAGAATGGCATCTTGCTTCATGTACCTATTATAGCAGGGGTGTCAAATTCGATTTCATTGCGGGCCGCATCAGGGATGTGTTTGACCGGGGGGGGGGGCGCAGTGTGGGCATGGCCAGCTCGACGACACTCATGTCGGGGGCGCCTGTGGAGGCCTGAGCACTCTGCCAGTGAAAACGTGCTCCCAAGCTCCGTTTTCGGCTTCGTCAGTGGCCTTCGTCAACCGTCTGCCAGCGAAAATGCAGCATGTGAGGGCTGCTCGCGGCTCTCCCGAGCTCTGTTTTCGTAGGCAGAGGCACTGTGGGCTGGCCCTTCGCTGTTTCCAGGGTAGCCCTGCGGGCCAGATCTAAGCATCCTGCAGGCCAGATCCAGCCCCCTGGCCTTACGTTTGATACCCCTGTGTTACAGGGTTGCAAACAAAGTTAGTCATCAATAGCAGCAGTATTTATGGATTTTTTTTGTAAGTGAATTGGTGGACTTAGAACGACAACTACGTATAATGCATAAAAAGAATGAGTGATAGTGCTTTTATCATTGCAGTATAAACCTCTTTATACTGAATTGTTCTAAATGTTTTGAAGATTGTAAAATGTGTGGTACGATCTATAGTGACCGTGGAGCCTAAACAAGAATCTAATTTGGGGGTTCAGAAGTTCTTCATAATTTGGCATGATTAAAACTCTTTAACTCTTTAAAACTTTTCGCAGTTCTATGATAGACTGTCTGAATAATGTAATATAGTAGTCCTTGTTTAGTGACTGTTGATAGTGTTGATAGTGGGTTTCCCTTGCAGGCTTTTGTTGATGTAAAATAGAACTAATCACTATTGTGAATAGGGCCTGGCAGGTATCTTAACCAGGCTCATTCATTTGCCTCTGAAGTTTTTAGCTGCAATTTAATATATCAAACTACATCCAATTGTTAGTTTTTTTCTGGTGCTTAAAACTTGGTCTGAAAGGGAAAGTTAGCCATAGCAGATGAATGAAGAGAGCTCCAAAAGGGTGTGGTAACGTATTCTGGAAAATGCTGGGGATTCCGATGCTGGGTTGTCATCTGAGTGTTTATTCCCCAAATCACTTTTTAAAAAGTAAGATGTATGTACAAGCATTCCCAAACATATAGTTATAAGTTTGGGTGTGTAAAGATCAAGTAGGTCACCCTGACTCTGTTTAATTCTGAAACTAAATATAAGCTGTTTTCAGGTGGAGCACTTTAGAGTTAGCTATGTGTCACTGTCCTTTCAGATAAGGGTGTTGACAGCAATTGGAGCAACCTGACAGATCACAAGCAAGAGAATATACTGTATGTTTTTATGTGCTCAAACCTGCGTGTTTGAATATAGCTTGGTTTCCATGATATTTTAACCCTTTGGGTTCCATTTGTAGCCATGAAAAGAAAACCGTTCCTGCTAACTAGCAATTCTAGCATAATGTGATTATAGGACTACTCTGAAACTGGGTATTTATGAAATGGAAGAGAGCTCCCATAATGGCAGATTTCATTCTGTGTGTTTCATAAATTTTAACTATGGCTAAATCAGTCTGGACTTAAACACTAATTGCCATTTGTCCAGCTTTTGGCCTTAGGCAATGTCCTAGTATTTTTGGCTTCAAGGTGCTAGGACTTTTTATCCTGAACATCCAGCCTCCTGTGCCAGGGACTGCTTGTGGTACAGCAGAATATATTTAGTCCATGATTACTTGATTGTGGATTGTGCAACATGATGCTTCAATACTTCCTTGACTGGAAACTGTGGTTTGTGTTGAAAGAGCATGAGAAAAACAATGTCTCACAAACAATGTAGGTAGCTAAACATAAATCTGTGGAAGCCACATAAAAACTCATCCTGTGACTATGACCCTTCAGAATAAACAAAGAGGCCTTTAGCCCAGATTCAAAAATACTGTATAGGCTTTAGACTTAGTGGAGGATCCTTTGGGTTTCTTAAAGAGGAGTAGGTACTTAACTAGAGGGACGCGGTGGCTCAGTGGCTAAGACGCTGAACTTGTTGATCAGAAAGGTCGGCAGTTCGGTGGTTCGAAACCCTAACGCCACGTAACAGAGGGAGCTCCCGTTACTCGTCCCAGCTTCTGCCAACCTAGCAGTTCGAAAACATGTAAAAAATGCAAGTAGAAAAATAGGAACCACCTTTGACGTTTAGTCATGCCAGCCACATGACCACGGAGATGTCTTCCGACAGTGCTGGCTCTTTGGCTTTGAAACGGAGATGAGCACTGCCCCCTAGAGGCGGGAACGACTAGCACATATGTATGAGGGGAACCTTAACCTTTAGGTGCTTAACTAGTTTGGCCTGTAGCAGCATGTTGAGATCAGACAATGATCAACCCAGTCATTTGGGGGGGAGGGGCTGTCTTTTCCTTGGGTTTGCATGCAGCCACAGTAAATTTTTCGTGTAATCACCTGAATTGTTTTATATGCTTGAACATGGCTCCTGATTAGTTCAGACTGCCTGCATACCGTAGATGAATGCCAACGTAGCTTTTTAATTTCTTAAGTACTATTAAGTGATTATGAAGGGAATAGAGGATTGTGTTTCTTTCTAAGCCTCATGTTCCTTTTAACCAGACCTTGAAATAAAGATCCTGTATTAAGGTCGGATTTATGATTAGAACTGCCAGGAAAAGACAAATTCATGAAGAAGAGGCAGCCATGCTGTCGCTTGGGTAACCTATCTGCATAAGTGATATGTGGAAATGTAGGATTTGGATTCCTACAATTTTATTTTGATTAAAAACAAAAAAACCCACCAGCTTGAACAATACTTTCTTCACTGGTTTATATCGTCATCTTGTAGAGGAAAGTGTTAGGGTTATATTGTAATTTCTAGAAATACATATAGTTCTTGACTTAAACCACAATTGCTAAGTGAGACATCGCACAAAAAATGATCATATGACCCTAGGACACTGCAACCTTCATAAATAAGAATCAGTTGTCAAGCATCTGAATTTTGGTCCCTTGACCATGGGGATGCTGCAATGGTTTGCAAGTGTGAAAAACAGTCATAACAGTGGTAAGTTCCGGCCACTGGTATGTGCGCACCGTTGGCAGCTTGGAGCAGCGACCATTGTACCGGAACGGTACTAAAGGAACTGTTGTAAATCTTGAACTACTTGTAACAGTTCTCCCCCACCCAAAAAATCCCTCCATAGTTTTAGTTGCTAAAATCTTATTTTTGCCATGATAAACAATTCTCCATTTTCTGGCTTCTGTGTGTTTGGAATAGGACAGTTCATTCCTCACAATCGCTTTCCCCCACCCCCAATTATCTTCTAAATATCCTCACAGAACATTCTGACTCCTAAACAGCTTTTCTAAGCACTCTGGGAGAGGTTCAGCCTTGAAAAGGGCCACGTTCCAATCCTTGGGGAGGGAGGTTGAGAACATTCCATGAAGAATGTTTTGCACATACTAGAATCCTCCTGCATTATTAATGCAAATGCTAGACAGTGATGTCACCTATGAATCCCTCACTTCCCGATGTCAAGCATGTCACGTTCTAAACATGAGCTCTTTCTTTATTCTTTTTCTTTTGTTTAGGTTGGGACAAGCATTCCTATGGCTATCATGGCGATGACGGACACTCCTTCTGCTCATCAGGGACAGGGCAGCCCTACGGCCCCACTTTCACTACTGGCGATGTAATTGGCTGCTGTGTGAACCTCATCAACAACACCTGCTTCTACACAAAGAATGGACACAGTTTAGGTAAGCAAATGGAGCCCTTGGTCCAGTTTTCTCTCACCTCATTTGAAATGTTAAGGTGGTCATAAGGTCCCTATCAGAATTGGGTTCCATTCAAAGGACAAAGTGATTGATCGTATAGTCAGAACAGAATTAACAGAATAACAGAGTTGGAAGGGACTTTTCAGGTCTGCCAGTCCTACCTCCTGCTCAAGCAGGAAACCTACACCATTTCAGGCAAATGGTTGTCCAGTCTCTTCTTAAAAACATCCAGTGTTGGATCATTCACAACTTCTGGAGGTAGGTTGTTCCACTGATTAATGGTTCTAATTTTCAGGAAATTTCTCCTTAGCTCTAGGTTGCATCTCTCCTTTGCTTCTTGTCCTGCTCTCAGGTGCTTTGGAGAAGAGCTTGACTCCCTCTTCTTTGTGGCAGCCCCTGAGATACCGGAACACTGCTATCATTGCACCCCCAGTCCTTCTTTTCACTAGACTAGACATGCCCAGTTCCTGCAACCATTCTTCGTATGTTTTAGCCTCCAGTCCCCTAATCATCTTTGTTGCTCTTCCCTGCACTCTTTCTAGAGTCTCTACATCCTTTTTACATTGTGGCGACCAAAACTGGATACAATATTCAAACTATTGTCTTACCAAGGCAACTGTTGGCTTTTTTGGCAGCTGTAGCACAGTCTCCTGGTTCATATTTAAGTGATTATCCACTAGGATTCCAAAATCCCTCTCACAGGAGCCAGGTACCACCTAAAATATAGGTCCTATATTATAGGCATTGGTTTTTCTTGCCTTATTTTTTTTTCCACCATTGAATTTCATTTTGTTAGATAGCACCCAAGATTCAAGTCTGTCAAGATCCTTCTGTATTTTAAGCCTATCTTCTGGAGTGCTGACTATTCCTGCCAGCTTGATGTCATCCGTAAATTTGATGAGTTCTCCTTATATCCCCTCATCCAAATCATTGATGAAGATGTCGAAGACTACTGGGCCTAAAACAGAGCCTTGGGAAGAGCATGAGAACTCCTTTCTCATGCATTTACCATCACATCATATGGTTTTTTCAGTTGTGTGGCCCATTTCCCACTTACTTCTGTATGTGCAGTAACTACTCTCACTCAGGTGGAATTAAAATAACCATCAATATCTTATTCCTGTCCCCTTTCCTCAAGAGAAAAGGACCTCCCTAACACTGGAAACAAAGTTGAATATATAGTAAGGCTCTTCCCTGCTAGGATATGCTTTTAACCTGGGAGAATCTCCGCTGTGCACAAAACAAAGCCAACAATATTCATAGTGCTGTGATGCATTCTGTTTTTTTGTTGTTGCCTGCTGTGTGCCTTTGAAATAGAACTGTAGAAAAGATAGAAGAAATGCTTCCATAGAACATGAGATAAAGGAACAAACCTCTTTGAGTAATGTAGTACTTATAACTAAGGCTCGAGAATTTATGAGTACATTTGTCAAAGCATTTGAGTTATAAAATTTGACAGCCATTCCCTGCAACTCCCCTTTATCCACTGTTCAGGGTTTTGCTTCATGCAGGCTTTTGTGGGAGTATAACTAGCACAAAGCAAGGGAAACTCCGTCTGCTAGTTTTATTTTATTGTTTCTTTAGAATTGCATATTGTAAATTGGAGGCTAGGTAAGTGAAAGTGCTACTTATCAGAATACCGGATACATTTATGGAATTCCCTGCAGCAAGATGTGGGGAAGACTTTATTGGTTTAAATTGTTTTGAAGGGCAGCTATATACAAATGTATAATATAATAAGCAGCTTTTGCAAAATGATAGCAAAGTCCCTGTTCAAGAGGCAAAATACCCTCAATAGTCACTTGTTGAGAAACACAGTTGGGAGGCAATTCTTGTTTTCATGATAAATTGGTGGGGTTCTCGGAAGTTTCTGTCTGGCTTGTGTTTTTTTTTTTTTTCAATATAGGAATCTATAGTCTGATGTTTCAGCACACTTCATGCATCATGTGGATGTTTCAGCTTTGCTCTTTAGAATTGCTTTAGCCATAACTGAATTTTTCTCTCTGGGCAAATGTACCGNTGGAGGGAGCATGATCTCCCTAGTTCTTTTCAGGTTACTGGTTTTCCATGCCAACAGCCACAGTATCCTCTTGAAGTATTTCTTAGGGGTGGAGATTTTATTATGATAGTTCTCCTTCCTGAAGGAGCACTTTCTGGGGGTATCATTAGGAGGGGAGAAGTTGTGCCCTAGGCCAGCGGTCTCCAACCTTTGGGCTTGGCCTGGCTGTGGGGGGGGGGGAGAGGAATTGGGTGGGTCAATGTGCACATAGCCCTTGCACAAGTGGCAGGCCAGTGTGTTCACACACAGTATCACTTCCGCTATTTGTGCATGTGTGCTCTGGCTAGCCATTCATGCAACCCAATTCCAAATAGGCCATGGTCTGGTAGTGGGCTGGGGACCAGGGGTGGGATGCTGGGAATCACAGGGGTTCGGGAGAACCTCTAGCTAAGATTCTGTGCAGTTTGGAGAACCCCCAAATCCCACTCCTGGCTGGCCCCTTGCATGAAGTCCTGAATTGTTTTGTCTATCATTTGGGTGTATATTTTAAACTTATTTTATAGGCTCCTGAGCTCCAGAGTCAAGTTATGATTTAAGTGGCATACAAGGCTAGCAAAAGATATAATAAAATGTAGCAATTATTTATGAGATTGAAAAATGAAATTTGCATTTATTTTTGATTCTGATGCTGCTTATTTTTAGCTCTCTGCATGAACCCTCGATTCATTCAACCTATATAATCAAAATATATTCTAAAGTCCAATAAGGATTTATCATAAATGAGCGCTAATTTAGAAAAGTCATTAGTGCACTGTTTATGTTTATACTTTCAGTAATCAGAAAGTAGCTCAGTCTTTTGGCAATTGAAAGGCTGTCTTAATCTTAAAATGGATTATTGTTTGTCTTTACAAATGATAAGTTACAAGTGCCAGATAACATTTAGGACAAATAAAAGCCAACAAATTTTGGCATGTTGCAAGAGCTAACAAGCGTCAAAAGCAAGAAAAATGAACATTGAGCTGAAGAAGAAAGAGTATAGAAAGAGCTTCTTGAGAATGGATTATCAGTTATGTCTGCATATTTTCCTAAGGGTTTCTGGAAGGCTGAATTTCTGTAATTGATAGCCAGAGCAAAGCTAATTTTAATGAGCTAATAGATACCATAGTGACAGTTTATTCAGGTTTGTTGACCTCACAACACTTAATAGTGATTGCATTTTTAAAAATCGCAGTGCTTGCCTTCTTAAATTGTGGAATAGATATTTATGGGTTTTTATACATGATTCTTAATTGTGATGTGTCTGGCTTTAAAGACAAGAATGACCAATTCTTGTAATATCTTCAGAATGCTATGAAGAATGCTATAACGTAATTACACAATCATATAGATATCAGCCCTTGAATACAACTGTTCCAGAGTATTAGAGGTGGGCTTTGACAGATTTTGCTTTAGTTTTCCTCAGTTTCACATATGGAAATAATAATGAACATTACATAGTAGAGCTATTTATGCCTTGAAAATGATTCAGAAGAAATATTTTGGCCCTCTCATGAACATATTTATTAATGTAGCATGTCTCCTCCTAGACTTTTGTGCAAGATAGAAAGAAATCTGTGGTTGCTTTATTGAGTCAACTCATTAAATTTAATATGATTTTTAAAACAGCCACCTCTATTTTTCAATTTTGTGAGAGAGCCTGTATAAAGACAAGGCTGCTTTAAGGGGTCTGCGCTTTTACATGCTTTTCTAAACATGTACCTCGGGTTAATATTCCTGCAAGTTGACATGTGATGATCTTGAAAATCTCCCTCTCCCTCTCATAGTTGTGGTAGTATAGCATAGCCTTGTTTGTACGTTATTTGGTTCCGTGCCTTGAAACCTGACTTAGAACAACAGTAGAATTTCATTACATGGATTATGATCTCATTCTATGAGAGCTACTGTCCCACAGAATAAAAGTTGCTAATACTCTGTACAATAAACGACATGAATTGTCTGACTGACTATGTCATCTCTGGCATACAGTGTTTATAAACATTTTACAAATGTTCACTTGAGTTATTCCGAGTTACAAAATCTGTTGCTCCAGCTCTTATTTATAGAACGATATGGCATATGTTGTGTTTCTGATAGAGGAGGGTGTTAAATACCAATTGAAAAGCATTTTAACTTGTCTCATATTAAGTGAGCAATGCTCCCCCCTTCCTCCCCAGCACTGTACCCACAGTTCTGGCAGGCTTCTAATGACCTGCACATGAGAAGAAAGTATGACATAAGTGTTCATTTGACATCCACAGCAGCTTTGGAAACGAATGAGTTCTAGTGTTGGCAGTTTATAATTGGGCTTTGTGGTATAAATACATATTTTTTGAAAAAATGAAGATATGAATTCATATCTGTACAGTAAGGCAGTAAAAAGCCTCACTCATCTCCAGAACACCAATAGTTGAATTGAAGGTATTCACTATCATATTGACATACTAGTGCGAGGCATAGGAAGATATAAAAATATGCAGTGTACCATATCAGATCATATAGCTATGATTTTAGATATTAGGGGTTGATTTCTATTTTTGGGAATTAAAAAATCTAAATTAGAAATCAAGGGGTTTGTTGGCTTTAGAACACGTCACTTCTGTGCTGCCCTGTTTCCCTGAAAATAAGCCCTCCCTGGATAATAAGCCCAATTGGACTTTTGAGCGCATGTGCTAAAATAAGCCCTCCCTCCTAAAATAAGCCCTCCCCCCTAAAATAAGCCCTCCCCCC